TGTCGTTTTGGGGAACTTGGGGGTATTTTTCACGAGAAAGGTGAGCAGATTTTGGCTCGAATTCTGTAACAATACGAGGATCTCAATTTCTTAGAAAGATCTTAGAAAGGGTCATGTTTTGCTCCATTTCTCTGGGGCTGCAATAAAAATGTTGTGAGGTTGAAAAAGAAAAGTAAATCAGAGAACAAGAGCTGTTCAACTGTGAGTCCAAAGCCCATAATCTCTATACTCCAAGTTTTCTGTTTGTCCAATTCTGGGAGAGATTTTTCAGAGGTTGCAGCTTCAAAATGAAGACGAGGAAATGATCACTGACGTGGTAAAACCAGTCACAGTTTGAACTGTTGTGAGATACCTTTGTTTTAAAAGTAAAAATTAGAGGTTGTAAAATGAGTTCTTGCAGACGAGCAGAACACAAATTGAGCTCTCGGACTTTGCAGTAAGGTTTGCAGGTGAAATAGCGACCTGACACTCCTCATCGTGTGAGTATGACTTCATCTGGCGGGGTTTTGTTTTCCATGAACTGCAGCTCTGCCTCAGGGAGTTGAACCGGTGCCCGTTGAGCCAGGCAGCAGCTGAACAGCCTGCCAGCTCCCACAGGGTGGTCGGTTTGAGTCCCTGCCCAGACACACACTCAGACTGCCAGAGAGAAAGTGGAAGGAGTTAGTATTCATGTCCGGGCACGATCTTCTGCTTCACTGCGTCTGCAGGCTTTATGGACCGGTTGTCCATTCAGGGGGCGATAGTAGACAAAAAATGAACAGGTTTATAGGGCAGTCTGAGGCGAGGCAAGTTTATTAAGTTATTAAAAGATAAAATGAAATAAGTAAAATGCATTTGGAGAATACAAATTATAGTGGAATTATACAGTACGATTAGATATATGAGTGAATTCAATTTAAAATTGAATTTAATAAAAGGCAGAAAAGTTGGATTTAAAAGAACCGAGAACTCAGCAACAACTAAAAGGAGAGTGAAGGAAATGTCAATCATATGGGCTGGATGGTAAATATAGAAACGATTGTTCATAATGGTCACAAATATTGTTCATTGACGATATAACTTTATATAATTTAAACTTGTGTTTAATTATTTTAAATTACAGACTTTAGCTGACGTAAGGCGTTTGTTTTGTTTTTTTGTCCTTTTAATACAAAGTCGGACATATTGGAGCTTTTTAGAGTCCCCCAGCTGTAATTCTGACTTTAATATTGACGTGAATAGTATTTCAAACTTGGAGACTGTTTATAACGCAAACTCTGATATGACTTGAATGCAGCATAATTATAAAGCAAGAAAGTAGGGGTATATTAAGTATATACTTTAAATCAGGGGTCTCACACTGCCGGCCCGGGGACCATTATTATCATTATTATTTTTCCAGTTGTTTGACATCAATCTAAACTAGTGCTTCATATACAATTCAAATAAAAACACAATTCAATTTTAAAAAATGCATTTTAATGGAGCTAAATAATGGCCAGTAAAGGTCAAAGGTACCCACAAATGTATGCAAATGGTCAGCTGTGAACAACAAAGGTGATATAATGATATATGATGATTTAAACAGGTATAGAAACTGCTGTTTGCAGTATAATCAGAATATTATGCTTTCTTGTAGTACTTGAACATTTATATCGCTGTCCTATGAGATGACAACACCAGCAGTATGCATTTAAAAAATCTACAATTATGAATAATTCATAATGATATAATATTTACACTTGAGCCATCATTTCCATTGTATCTATTAATTGTATCCTGAACTGTGAGGCAGTTTGTAAAATCTGTTTCACTAAGAGCTCTTTAAATGAATCATTGATCATCCTTCTGATATATAATAATGATTATTGAGTCATCACAGCTAATGATGGTTTACAGATACGCTGTAATGTCATGATAGGTCACCAGGGCAGGCTAGGGTGGAGCAGTGTAATAAACTGAAAAACCAGCAAAATGGTAGGTTAAAAAACATCCCGGAGGAGGACAAAGGGTTCTTTAAACTTACAGTACTTTCCTATGAGTTCTTGTTCTCCTCCAAGGCTGTTTTTCCAGCTTCTTCCACCTGTCTGCTCTCTGTCCTTCTGCCTCCTTTGTTCTGCCTTCCTTCCAGTTCTTCTGTCCTCCCTCTATTACCTGGCTTAAGCACCTGCACAGAGGCGTATAGGTATAGGCGCTATGAATAGCCACAGCTGTGCGTAACGGTTGCATGGGATGACAGCCGCTTTGGTGTTTGTTGGAGAACCTCGCTGATGCAACGCGATCGGTGAAATTGCATCCGGCCTTCTCACTGACAGGTCTCGTGAGTGGTGGGCAAGCATTGATCTGCAAACAGATTTCTAAATGTGTTTTCTCCATCCGTGTGTAAATGTGCCCGGTTCCACAGTGATTGAGAAAACAAAAGCAGGCAAATACAGATTTATAAATCTGACAAAAAGAATGCATATTTCTGTCTTTATGAGATTTACGTGTCTGGTCCCTGGTCATCCATTTCTGATGCACTGTGGGAGAGCTTGGTTTGCCTTGGTCCAGAGCCTGAATTGGACCAAAAAAGGCGCCAGAACCCTAATTCAGCACAACCATAACCACAAAATACACCTAACCAATACTTTTAGTGTTTTCTATGCATTTTCAGCGTTGTCTTCTCTGCACTAAGCTAGCTGTGTTTACAAAGAGACACAGTTTCTTAGGCAAAAATTATCCCCTATGTCCTGCCCTTACTCTGTCTCTGATTGGCCGTGTATCTAGATACGTATCAGATCGTCTTAGCACACCGGGTACTCATGTGGACGGAAAATCTGAAGTACCTCTACCTGTGAGTACTGGCCCATATCTGTCCAGTAGATCTAAATATTTAAAGGCCAGTACTTGTTCTGAGGATAGAGGTTGTTGTCTGCTTTATATGGACAGACTTATGACTTTGGGCTACAAAGTTAATAATTGAGGGAGTGGTTTTGAGTCTTGTCTTGTTCCTCTAAGACAGCGGTCCAGGGACCCTGGAGGGGTCCTTGAGGGGGCTCCCCAGGAAAAAAACAGGAATATTTTAATTTCACTACTATTTCATTGACTAGTTAACCCAATGAGAGAATGTATAAGAATGACTATTCTGTTCACACTCTTCCACAGTATCAGTTATCAGACAGCAGTCCCTGAGAGTACATTGTATCAAATATGTGTCTACGGTCTGATGTGTACCAATTTGGGGGTCATTGACATCAATAAAGTTGAGAACCGTGCTCTAAGATGTATATTGACTATGAGAATGGCTTCCTCATTGTGAAACCCTACAAGGTTTGAAACACAGCACCAGAGTTTGTATACAGCAGTTTACAGGCATTGCCCTGGACACAGTATCTATCCCAGTAGCTTTCCCAGGTTAGCTTCAGTAAATCTAATTATACAAAGGCCAGCACTTGTTCTGAGGATAGAGGTTGTTGTCTGCTTTATATGGACAGACTTGTGACTTTGGGCTACATAATTAAACTTGACTTGTTTCAACTGCAGGGGGAAACAATTATCCAAATAGGACTTAAACAACACACACACACACACACACACACACACACACACACACACACACACACCACTTTACCATACAGGCTTTGATCAGCTGAAGGACAATTTACTGCAGAAACACTGCCAAATAATATACACAAACATACACACAGTAGCCTACTGAGCTGTGAAAACTGCAGTGTGTGATTTTCCTGCAGACGGAGGCTTTAATGGTGGTTTAAAGTGAATTTAGAAGTGAACTTTATTTTAAGATCGTCAGCCATCCACCCCATGCGACTGAAGCTTTAAAGGGAAGATTCAGACTCAGAAACAAAGCTGGCAGGGACACACATTTGTTCCCAAACGTTACACCGGTTTCATTCAAGCCGTGTTGCCAGGAAACAGCCTAGCTCCTGATGTTTTACTCTTGTGGCCATACGTTTCACTATCAGCCCAGCTCAGTCCACAGTTTTACGTGCTCCGCCTTTATTAAACCTCACTGGTGTTTTACCCTGAAGAAGCTCTGCGGCACCCTGAGAGAACAGTCACCGTCCAATCAGGTGGTAGGATGTCCTATAAATGAGAGCCGAAGCCGGTTGCCCTCTGGTGTTGCTGATAAACAAGATCTGCTTCATCATGTCGGCTCAGAGCAGTTTGGCATCATAAGGCAGAGACCAGGTTGAAGAGGAGCAGGAGTGGATAGTCCCCTCTCTTATTACCCAAAGTTGGACTCACATTTTGAGTTTTAGCCATGCAAGCAGCTTGGTTCCAGGGGTTGGAATGAATGTCGATGTCTGTTGGTCCAGACTGGAATATCTCGACAACTGTTGGATAGATTGCTATGAAATATTCTACAGACATTCCTGGCCCCCAGAGGATGAATCCTCATTATTCTAGTGACTTTTCCTCGAGTGCCACCATGAGGTTTTTGGTTTTTAGGGAAACTGCTCAGCAGCTCTTGGATGGATTGCTGTGAGAGTTTGTGCCGACATTCATGGCCCCATCAGGATGAATTGTAATCACTTTGATGATCCTTTGACCTTAAATCATGCACCATTATCAAGTCACAATTATAATTTTTCCAATACTTTGGTTCACAACTGAATACCTGTAAAACTAAGGAAATTCCCTTTAGGCTCAACTTTACTGTTAAAGCAAATGAAAAAAAGTTGTACTGTAAGAACAAAACAGGCTAAACTAAGACAGTAAACATGGTAAACACTTTCTAAACATCAGCATGTTAGCAATGTCTTTGTGAGCATTTTGATCTTTTTTTTTTTTTAATGTTTGATTTTAAAGTAATCTTAAAGTATCTCAAACGTAGCTGACCACATAATCTCACCCAGTCCTGGACATATTTGACTATGAGAATGCCTTCCTCAGTGTGGAACTCCAAAAGACACCAGAATTTGCATACAGCAAGTTTTTAAATCATTTTAAATTAAATAATTATATGAATCTGACTTAACACCACATCAATTAAATTCTCCTCTGTGTCTGTCTTTCAGTGGTTTGGTGATCTGGTGACTCCGGTCTGGTGGGAGGACGTCTGGTTGAAAGAAGGTTTTGCTCATTTCTTCGAGTATGTTGGCACCGACTTCCTCTTTCCAAAGTGGAACATGGTGAGTAAAAAAATTTTAATATTATTCATCTCAGACAAAGAATTCGTTGGCTCAATGCAGCAATGTACTGTGAATCTTTTGCTTTAATTTTATATTTAATTTATTTCTAAGAGTCAATAGGAGAAAATTCTGAACCTGCTTCTTTTTTAAGTCTTATGACTTGAATGTACTTTAAGCTAAAAACTGGATTTAAACCCAAAATGAGTCATCTCACTTTAAGAGATAGAGTATATAGTAGATATAACATATTGTGATTGAATCTTACAGATTTTAATATTCTATAACCTTTTAAGTGCAGCTGTATCTTCATCAGTGAATGGAGCTGAGGAAGAGTCAAAGTGAAATTATCAAACATATAAAATATATGTGGTAACTGCAGAGTTTCTCTCTGATAATTTGATAATAGGAGTCTGATCTTTTATTCAAGACAAACAGGAAGTAAAGCTTTCAGCTTTGCATGTTAAAGTGCGTTCAGATATTCTGAAACATCCGTCCGTTCACTCATGAAATTGAATTTATTTTTGCCCCTCAGATGGTTTCAGGTGAATCAGATATTCAGCACAGGGCTCCAGTCGATCAGATATGATTTGTTTTTCCTTTTTTAGAGTAAAACATTGAAAAATCTCCAAACACTAAATACAACACAGGTAGAAGACAGAAAACCGGATTTAAAAAGAACGAAAATCATCTGTTGAAAGAGATAAAAACAAAAACTGTATTTTTTCTCTCCATTCAGACTTTAAGGCCCTCTCTGTGGGCAGTTTTTATTGGCAGCAGTTGTGCTTTGGCAGAAAATATTTCCCAATATTTCCCACTGTTGACAGTCTGAGGATTATCCACAACTGGGATGCTGTTTGTGAACACTTTGAGTTACTTAAACAAAATCCCATTCAGCTCCATTGTATTGGTGGTGGTGGTGGCAGAATTAAACATTTCTTCATGATTACTGCATGGAAATAAAAAAAATTGGTTGAACTGAGCCTTTTTAAATCCTAACACAAATAAACTGTAGTAGCACAGAGTGGAAAGGGATCATTTATTTATGGTGATGTCCAAAAACATTCTGCATAGACGATGTTAGGTGACTGACAGTTGGAGCACTTCAAGGCTTGGATTTACATGAAACTCTCCTGGTGGAACACTTGATCAATACTTCCCCACCCTGTCTGTGGCTCTCAGCCCCGACCCAGTGGTTCCTACTGAAGATGTAAATCTTTAAAGGTTGTATATATGTGATTTAGAACATAAATATAGCAGCAGACAACTATTTAATAAGTAAATATACAGTGGAGTCATGGTGTCTCTCTCCCTCTGCCTGTGTTGTATCGCAGCCTCTCTGTGGTTTGTTTCCACAGCCGGTCTGCTCCGACTGAAACTGCTGTTTTTATCATCTACGTCGGTGAATTAAGGATTTATTTCCACCAAACCAGAGTTGCTGATTGTTGGAAACACTAACAGAGACAGTTTTGGTGCAGTTTCTGTCCACTTTGAATGAAGTTATGATAATTTGTGATAGTGATAGTGATATTATGTCTGTTTGTTGTTAAACTAAAGGTCTATCTCTGTAGGGATCCTTTCCATAATGCTGTCAGACACTGACAATAACAACCTGAGTCTGTCAGTGGCAGAAACAAGAACTTTTTGACAGATGCATTTGTCCCCAAGGATTAACGTTATTTTACGTTGCAGCCTTTTCATGAATATTTTTTCATCTAACTCGATGAATTAAGAGTTTATTTCGACCAAACCAGCGTTGGTGATTGTTGGAAAGAGTCTGAGATGCTGGAGCTGTCAGTGAATTTATATATAACACTTAAAAAACACAAATATATAGTTTTTAAAAGAGATTCAGCAAATCCCTAAAACAGCTGGTCACTGTAGTTTTTATCAAACAAACAAAAGAAAAGAATACATTTGTTGGGGATTATTTTCAGCGGTGGATTAATCCACATTCTGTGCTCTAGTGAGTATTAATGAATGTCAGTTTTTAACAATGGAGCTCTATGGCACAGAGGAAGAAGATATCAGGCTCTGATACACACACACTATCCTTGTTAGTAGATAAGTAGATTGTTGGATTGTTGACAATAAGAAAAATAGGGAACATTGCCAGCCCTGTCCTTTGAGGAGAGAAAGACAACTACGGGTCTAAAGTAGCATTTTGGTGAGAAACATTCAGTCACATACTTTAAAAGCTGAAGATTTTGCTTTCTAGTATCCTGATTAAAAACATTCTGCTGTTTAAATCGGTTAACATTTTGGATAAATTCAACCACAAAGGCACCATTTACAACCACAAAGCCTTCTGAACAACTCTGCAACTCTTATATCCAAAGCAATGCCATCCGAGGTTCATTGGTAACGTATAAATCAGAGCAATTCACCAAACCAAACTAATAAAATATGAAATAATTCAAGTTCCCCTCCACTGAAACATCAGTGTTTGTTCTTGTTCCTGCTGTGTGATGTTTGAATGATGTATGTGCAGAGTTTGACACTAGAAAGATCTTTTCGCATTCATTTGCTGAAAGTGGAAAGTTTCTCTGTGCTCATTGATGATCACCACTACCCCAACACCCATGAACACACACTGCCTGAGAGGAGCACAGCGCTAACCGCATCCGACCACCTTGTGTCTCATTCACACATCGCTCTACATACCTTATAGTTAAGGAAAATAACAATTTCTCCTCAAAAACTAAACAGACCAGATGATTTCCTGTCCCTTAGTTCTCGCCACCGTTGAACAGCCACAGCGATGTTACTCCGGTTTGTAGCGTTTCTACTTCCATCTTCAAACCATCTTCTTGTGCGACTAGCTCCGTAGCTTTAGCAATATTGTTTTTATTTTATATTAGTTTCATTATGTAAATGTATTTGCCCCAGTGCAGTTAATTTACAGCATGTTTTATCTGCTTATTAGTATTTATTTTCACTAATGTATTCTTTTTATTCCATTTACTTCTACATGAGTTTAATTGTCTGATTTCTCTGCTTCCTAAAATGTTTTTAATCGTGGTTTTGGCCATGTAAGAAACTTTATAAAGTTTAGTGTTAAGTTTATTATTATCATTATACTTACATTATACTACCAATATTCCCAGCTTAAGATCTGTCTGCTGCTCAGTTTCCAGCAGGCGTCTTGTTTCTCTTTATTGTATAAAAAGTTACGCAACATATAAAACCGTTTGGACGTACAGTGTGTGCATAGGAAGAAAGTTAAAACTGGCTTTTGAGGAGGAGGAAGACTGCGAGGTGTCCTCCTGAACTCTTCCTCCACGCGCACGGATCAATATCTGATTCCTCCTTTTCTAAAAGTGTTTTCCTGCAGTTCAGCAGATCATATTCAGCCCAAACGCGCAGCAGGTAGAACCCTGCTTCAATTTATTCCTGCTCAGGTTGGCAAACAAATTGATGCAGCGAGTGAGTCAGCTCAAAACACAATAACATTACAATTCTCACTCAAATTTGCTCAATAACTCCCAGCTCCCCCCCCACGGTGGACGAACTCAGCGAGAACTTCACTCAGAGAGAAACAGTGAACGCTGCACAACTTTAAATTACAGAACACACTTCTTTGTTTCTACCGTAGTACGTTGTAATTTACTTCCAATAGAGAATGTGTTACACCCAAACACCTTATCTCCCGCACGCACACACAGTCTGTTTCTGAGCGACATGGCATTTTTAAATCCCTGTTACTGTGGTTCTGCACGACTGGACGCTTTAATAGAAACAAAGTGTTTCTCCAATAACAAGCGCAACGATGATAAAGCGGTCTGTTCCTGATAAAGCAATTTATTTATAATACAGGTTTTTATTTAAAAAAACGCTTTCCATCAGCAGCGAGTCATGCAGTGCTGCAGGGAGAAGAACAAAGCACAGCAGAGAGGAAATGAAACACAAACAAAAATATGACGAGGAGGGAAACATGCAGCAGATTGTTTCTCTGTTACAACCGATCAATCAATCACTGAGCCAATCCGGTTGCAAAATATCACTCCTTAACATCAGGATTGGGGCAACTTCCAGCTAACAAGAAGTAACTGTGCATTCAAACTGAGGTGACATCAATTTAATGCTGACATAAAGAGACAGCTGCAGTGTTTACAGCCACAGAGCAACATGTGGGACAATTATTATGGGAGAAATAAAATGTTAAATTGTAGTAAACGTGCCGTAAATAAAGTCAAAAAGAGCCTCAGGCAGAACCAGCGATTTGTTGTGTAAGCTATGAAAAAGAATAATCTATTATTGTCTTTTAGTTCCTATGAAACCATTTGTGCCTGCAACTGAAATTTTGAATTTGGGCACATGGGACTTCTGTTTTTTCCTAAAATGGTAGAAAATGCCCTCAATAAGCAGTAAAACTGTAAGTATTTTTTATTATATTCAGTACACAAAGGCTAATGTCTATATAGGCCATATTAATAAAAGTTGCACACGACTATCATTTGTTAAACTGCAGGTGAAAACATTCTCCATTAGAGAGCCTGTTGCATGTTTGTAATGAAAATAATAAAAATCCCTACATTTGTATTGCTTATTTAGGAGCATGTTCTACTATTTAAGGAAATAACAGTAGTCCTAAATAGAGATTAAATATAGTGTGATAAGAAATTGGCTGTATCTCAGAAACTACAGGAGCAGAATCAAGTGTTTGATTAGTTAAATGTCAAAGATCTGCACACATATAGAGTGTAAAAAAATATATATGACAAAAATCCTGACTTTGACCATTGATAAAAGTGTGATATCTAATGTGTTATCTAATAATTTAAAAGTTTCACTATTACATACTTGCCCAAAGTATGTTGGTACCAAATTTCAAGACTTTAAACCAATCAGAAAAAATGTTATTCCCTTTATCACAATAAATATAGTCTTTGGGTGCAAATGAGTTAAGAACAAAAGCGGTGAACGTGACGTCACACAGATCGACGCTCACTCAGTGTCGGTTACTGTCACGCCACATCATTAACGTGAGCCGCGGGGGAAAA